CTCATGGAAAGTGCAAGATATAACTATGTGTCATTTTAAACTACAAAGCTTATGACAATTTGTTATGTAGCAATGGAAAACTAATACATTATGCCTTTGAGTTTTTTTAGTTTATTTATTTGTGTTACATTATTATAGTTCATATTTTTGTTCTTTTTTCATATTTATCACAAGAAGTCAAAATCAGTGGTGAAAACCATAACTGTATTATAACATACACTTTACTGTAACTTCATTCTAGCAGGTACTTTATCATAGTAAGCACAATGGAAACAGAAATAAATACAGGGAAATAATAGAAAGGCTAATATAAACTGCTCATTAGAGCTGTGCTGCTATATAAATCATGGTAACTCCAGCCCAGAGCTCTTTTAAATTTAAGCAGTGCTGCATTTTTTTCTTCATTATTTAGTGTTGTTTTGACATTTAAGGTCCCTTGACTTCTAATGCTGAAGAGACAAAGGGGTGCTAGTACAGGAAAATTTGGATATGTAGAGAGGTGAAACCAATCCCCTAACCTAAGCTGGGACATTTAAGCAGAACTCCTAGCTATATAAAAGTTCAGCCATTATCAGAGACCTTTCACTCTGCTGCTTTGAATTCCTGAAATTTATAGCATACTCTTGACCCAAGTTCCTCAAGTTGAAGATTAGCTCAAAGAACAGTGGCACTCAAAGACTTGTGCCCTGTGACCTCACCAATGATTTTAAAGGTGACAGCTGTCACTAGCTCCTCCAATCAACTTCCTGTTCATCAAACTCACCATAATTTTTCTATGCTCTTGAGCCTTTGCACATATATTTTGCTTTTCCTGGAATAAATTTTCCATTGCTTCCATGCCTGGGAAAGAGTACTTTTCTTGAGAACTTTTCCCACTATCCTCTGTTGACTTCCTGGATAGTTTTTGGTTTTTTTTCCCAGTCAGAAGTTTCTTTTATTCAGTGAGTCCAACTGGTAGGACAAGAGTGGTAAGATTATGTGACCATTCAGTGATTTATTATCTACACTGATTTCATCAGAGTCAGTGAGTGAGGCTACTGCAGGTTTGTAGTACTCAAAAAGTTCTCAGGCATACAAGCTTGAATATATATATTTATACAAAAAAAAAAAAAAAAATTTTCTAAAAGACATAAAAAAAAAAAGAACCTCCTCCTCCTCTTCCCTTTGTTTCCTCTCTTGACCACTCACCCAGGGATTTCACTAGACCCCTGCCTCCTCCTAGTTGCACATTATAATAATACAGGGAGCTACCTGTCCCCTTGTTATTTCTCCCTAAGGCCTGCTGGTATTAAGCCAGTAGGATCTGTTTCCTCACTGTCCTTGTATCTTCACTTCCGATTTTTGCAAGAGACCTTTTTTTTCTTAATTTTTACTATGTCAAGACATTTCCAAAATACTATAAAACCTACCTTTGCATCACATTACATTTCTTGTCACCCCAAGATACCATTGTTCTTGGCACTTTGGTTTCAGAACACATTGCAGACTTCTGTTACAGAATTTACAATGTTGTATCATAATTACTTCATGTCTATATCCACCCCATAGGGGCCATACCTTATTTAATCTGGCATCTTTAATCTCCAAGAGGCAACAAATTTTAAAAATCTTTATTTATATTTTTTTATTACAAGCCAAATTAAAATAAAAACACTAACTTAGCTTAAATGAAACATCTAAGACAAACTTGCATTATCACTGATAGTAATTTTCCTATCCCTCTGCTAAAGCAGTAAGCTGATGTTTCAGCTAGCCGAGCCAGTCGGGGAGGGGGAGGAAGGTGCAGGAACAACCATGAGATTTCAACTGCCTCCTTCCCCTCCAGCTCCCACAGTGACTAGATAACTGTCATTATCTAAGAGCTCAGAGCCAGAACTTCTTTGACACGTGCTTTTTAACTTGCTTGAAATGTGACTTCCCTATAGGTGAAGTTGATGCTATAGATTACAAAAGAAGAAGAAAATAAGACAGAAAGCAGGGCATAGTTCCTAAGGGGGGGGGAAAAATGAAAACTCTGCCCCATTTTTCCACACTGAAGGCCATAAGTACCCCTCAGGCTAACCCCCTTTGGTTAGCTTCACTTCTCATTGCTGGTGGTATTTATTTTGATAATTATAGGGTAGAAAGTCTTTTTTTAATGAACATTTTGAGACTCTATATTTACCTCAGTTATTATCTCTGTATGAACTGGGCTGTTGTTTCAGCCTATCTCAGCCAAGTTTATTGGCAACGGCAGTCTATTTGCCAACATCACTTATTTTAAACTAAAGTACAGCCCAAGTTTTAAATGCAATCTTGCCTCAGGTTCATAAAGCCAAATCAATAGGATCATTCAAATCCAAGGTTAACTCTTATCTTGGAACCAAGCTCATTTCTATTGATTAAACTTTTATTTTTGTCTTATTATAAAGACCAAAAAGCCCTTGGGATGGCTGTAGAAAGAAAGCACCAAAAACAATCTATTCATGTCCCTTTGTAATTCTAACTAATTCATACAATTTTTATTTCCAACCACATTCTAAATATATATATTTTCTCATATATGATTTCTTTCTGTTTGATGGAAGACTTTTCAAATATCAACTATTATTAGTATTTCCTAAAAATATTAGGGAAACAGAGGAATGTGAATAAGTCAGATATATAGCACATGAAACAGTCACACAGATTTCTATAAAACTAGAAACATAAAAGTATGTTTGTGGATGCTTATTTCCCAGAATTAATGTTTTTACATATTTTAATTTACACTAGAACTGTAATTGACACTAGAAACGTATTTGATGTTTTTATTCTCTCTTTTTCCTTATGGAAATTTTTATATCCTTTTTATTTTGTCTATGATGACAAAAGCAAATATACAGGTAATTGTAAAGATAAAAGATTTATGAAGCAAAACTAAAGTTTCCTAGAAAAGAAGGGATGCCACCTGAAGATAGTAACAAGATTGCAACACGGACACCTGCCTGCATTTCCAGCTGCCAGCCTGCCCTACAAATTTTAGACATGATAGCTCCCAAAATTATATGAGCTAACCCCTCATAATAAATAAATACACATGTATGTGTATGTGCGTGCACACATACACACATACACAAGTTCCTTGCAAAATTCTAACTGATATAGTGAGTATATGAGGTGCTTCCCAGGTGACTCAAAAGTAAAGAATCCACCTGCCAACCCAGGAGACGCGAGTTCGATCCCTGGGTTGGGAAGATCCCCTGGAGGAGGAAAGGATAACCCCATGGACAGAGGAGCCTGGCAGACTACAGTCTATAGGGTTAAAGAGTTGCACATGAGTGAGCGACTGAGTGTGCACACACATATAGTGAGTAGACACTGAATCTTCAACTACAAACAGGTGTGCAAGAAATGTCAAACTCCATTATTTCTTTAAAATCAAATTAATTCCAAGTTTCCATTCCACAGACCAGGAAGAAATTCAACGTAGGTCCTTTAGAGTTCACAAGCATCCTCTCAGCTTTATCATACTCCCCTTTGATATCTTATTTTTCAAGGCCACTTGGTTCCTGAAGGCAGATGGCTCTGCCCATTCCATGTCAAACCTGAGCACTGGAATCTCTGTCAAATCTGGGAGTCCCATTTCCCTGCCCAGTCTCTCTAGGAGCACCACACAGTAAATCCACTCAGATGTCTTGCCAGGTCCTAAAGGTATTGCCAGGGAATGGAGTGTGGATCACCGTTATTTTTGAAGTTCATAAACCTCCAATCAGTCTCGGGGAAGTCCTCTTTCCTTGTTCACTTCCCTCAAAGGAATTCAACTCTCTTCTTTGTCCTAAATATTCTTCAGAAACTCGGCTCTCAGGAGAAGAAGAGGGTGACAGAGGATGAGATGGTTGGATGGCATCACCAACTCAATGGACAGGAATTAGTGCAAACTCTGGGAGAAAGTGAAGGACACAGAAGCCTAGCATACTGCAGTTCATGGGGTCACAAAGAGTCAGACACGACTTACCAATTGAAAAACAACAACAAAGACTTAACAGAGCAAGGATAAAGAGATATTATTTCAAGAAAAAAGATGTCTAGTGGCGTGATTAAAGTATGCCATACTAATTGGCCCTGAGACAACTGGTATCCTAATAAGTTGTTTTTTTCCAAAGTACATTTAAAAATATTATTTCAAAATGTTTTCCCCCATGTCCAAATTAAACTTGAGCTATCTCAGTTCCCCTCCTTGAATTCCCTCCCACATCACTGCTTGTATTCGCTTTCTCTGTCTTTTCAAATAAAAAGATTTGAATTCTGAAAAAAAAAAAAAAAGAAACTCGGCTCTCTCTATAAGACAAAAATGGGAAAAAAAAAAAAACAAAAAAAAACAGCTCTCTGTAAGCAATATCTGCTTTCTAGCAGGTAATACAAATTCCTTATGAGATGGGAAATCTGTAGCTATATCAATAAATTGTCATACTCTGTTACATTAAAATGACCCATCCTGTACTTTGAATGAATCTTCTACACGTCTCATTCTGTTAATTCATGCTTTGATCTTTTGAAAAATATCAGTTCAATGAGTTATATAGATTTACCAAATGTTTATTATAAAATGATTCTTTTAAAAAAATCACATCTGTTGATATCACCACCTTCATCATCAGAAAAGTCTTTAGATATTATGAAGCTGTCAAGTCCATAATGACCAAGTTTTTCAAAATTCTGAATTTTGCTTGAAAGATTAAATTTTATCATTGGCAACAAATAATGTCAAAGGTTTTTCTTGAAGTGATAGTTTCACCCAGTTGTTTTTTAAGAAACCATTTTGCCAAATACCCAAGTCTAAATAATCATAGTTCATTCATTATTCTGTCAGGTAAAACTTCTGTTCCATAAGAAAAGCTAATTCAGCTTCCAACCAAATTTCACAAATGCTTTTCTTTGAGATCACCATTATATTTACATGTGCATCAAAAAAAAAATGACTATAAATAATTCTAATTTTTGTCACACAGAATGCTACAAAGATGTATTTAAGGGCAAAATTTTAATAAAATTAATAGTTTACACTACTTTATCAGGGACATTATTAAATGAAGCTTGCCTTTTTCTGTATGTTGTAGTGAAGAATACAATGACTGCTAGTACTCATGGGTGCCATTGCTGTGAAAAAATAAGAGTCAAAAAGTGCTTACCTATAGCATTTGACATAATTCCTCTTAAAAACTTTCCTCTCATGGCTGTTTCAACACTTCTCTTTCTGCTTGTTTCCTTTCTATCTCTCTAACTTCTTTTTTCCTTCAATATCTTGTATTAGTTATGTATTACTATGTAAAAAAGTACCTTAAAACTTAGTGCATCTAAACAGCAAGCATTGCTTCTCAAAGTATCTGATGGTCAAGGAATGCAGGCACAGCTTGGGGTGGGGAAACTGGGACATTCTGGATCAGGGTCTCTGATGAGGTTGCAGTGAAGGCACTGACTGGAGCTGCAATTATTTAAAGACAAATAGGGCAGGAGGATCCACTGCCAGGAAGATTCACTCACATGACTGCTGGCAAAAGGCCTCAGTTCCTAACTTGTTACATGTGTCTCAGTTCCTCAGTATATGGGTCTCTCCATGGGCTGCGTGAGTGTCTTCAAGGCATGAAAGATAGGCACCCCCACCCACCCAATCAGGCAAAGAAAGACAGTCAGACAGACAGACAGAAAAGCTGCAGTACCTTTTATGCCCTCATCTGTGAAACTGTCGGAGAAGGAAACGGCAACCCACTCCAGTATTCTTGCCTGGAGAATCCTGTGGACAGAGGATTCTGTGGGTGGGCTGCCATCTATGGGGTCACACAGAGTCAGACATGACTGAAGTGACTTAGCATGTACCCAAGCATTGGAGAAGGAAACGGCAACCCACTCCAGTGTTCTTGCCTGGAGAATCCCAGGGACAGGGGAGCCTGGTGGGCTGCCGTCTATGGGGTCGCACAGAGTCGGACACAACTGAAGTGACTTAGCAGCACCAGAAGCTATGAAACTGCACACACTGGAAACAGAACTGCCATATGACCCAGCAATCCCACTCCTGGGCTTACACACCGAGAAAACCAGAACTGAAAGAGACACGTGTACCCCAATGTTATCGCAGCACTGTTTATAATAGCCAGGACATGGAAGCAACCTAGATGCCCATCAGCAGATGAATGGATAAGGAAGCTGTGGTTAACATATACACAGTAGAATATTGCTCAGCCATTAAAAAGAATTCATTTGAATCAGTTCTAATGAGATGGATGAAACTGGAGCCCATTATACAGAGCGAAGTAAGCCAGATAAAAAAAAAAAGAGTAACTATACACTGTTGAGAGTAAGCACTAAATTCATCCCAGCACTGGAGAAGAGAAGAATTAAGCTCTATCTCTTAAAGAGTATCAGTTAAATTGTGGACCTATTTCCTTACTACTACAGAATACTACATTTCATTCCTTGAATGTTACTGCTACTTACCAGTAACTTTTACCATCTCACTTTATTCACCTACCCTGGGTGATCTCAACTACTCCCCTGGTTCCAAGTGCCATCTATCTTGATGAATATATTCATCTATATTGAATCTCAAACCATTATTTCAGGTTTATTATTTCAGTCCTCATCTTTCTTCCAAAACCCATATTTAAGTTTTCAGCTACCTGTCACACATCTAGAAAGCCGTCTTAGCCTGACCAAAACTAAATATTTGTCTTCCTCTCTCTTTCTTCCCATTCAGCTCTTTCTTTTTTATCTTCAACCCAGTTACTCAAAATAGAAAACATAAAATTATCCTCAATACCTACCTCACATCTTTGACGTAGATTTATCCTCATTGTTTATGCCCTCTAAATAACTCTCAATTTATTTCCTCTCTCCATCAGCACTATCTTTGTACAGGTTGTCACCATTTCTAAGACTACTGCACTAGCCTGATAATTGATCTTTATGTCTAGTCTCTCCTTTTTCTAATTTATCTTTTGTCAGATTTATCGTGGCTAAAATATATATCTGAGATCATATATCTCTATAAAAACCTTGAATGACTCACTAATAACTTCAATTTAAAGCCCAAGTCATTTAAAATGATATATAAGACCCTTTAAAATCTGATCCTAATATATTTTTAGCTTCATCTTTTGTCACTGTCTCAACACATCTTCCCCAAATCATTGTCACTCCCCCGAAATGTCATGTACTTTCATATATTCATATATTTGCACATGCTGTCTTCTCTGCTTGGCATACCCACTAGCTCCACTCTGCTTGGTAAATTCCTATATTCCCAGTGCAAACAGCATCTCCTCCAAGCTTCTCTCTCAGACTTCTCTAGGCAAGAAATCATTTTCATCTACTGTGGTTTCACATCATCCTGCATATACTGATGGCATATCTTTGTCACCTACATGTTGTGGACGTTTTTCGAACTGTTTCGGTTTCAAATGTTCTGTCTTTATGTCCATATAAGAACATGAGTAAATTTATCTGAGTATGATTCCCAGTTTTAATGCAGAAAATACGATTACTAGTGACACTATTTGTCCCCTCTAGGAATTCCAGAATAATCTATTACAGGAAGAGGCTTATTTGTCTCTTACAAAATTTTTGAAATCTTTTCTGATTTTATGTTTCAAACCTGCACCATCAAATAAAGCAGAATGTCATTTAAAGCCCAGAGCACAAGTAAATATTTTACCAATGTTTATATCCTTCTCCACATTGCCCACTTCCCATTCACCACAATCCCCAGAACACCGTTACAAACCCACTTCCACAATAAGCAGCAGAGTCAGCAGAACCGAAAGAAAGGAAGCCTGCAAGTGTGTCTGTACATCTAATCAAAGATGTTTATCCTCAGAAGTCTCACCTATAGTTTTTTCCTGTTCTTGTAGAATCTTGGCATTCAGTGACACACATCCTCATTATTACTAGAAAATTCCCCAGATGGAACTGGATTCTCATATCTTGGCACAGAGGTTTTATTAAACTCAATCTCAACAGATAAGATAAATACCAAAGCTAAATACACTCTTGCAGAGAAAATGGGAAAGAACCCTCAGCTCCCACCTTCGTCCTTGGCCGTCACTCACTTTTCGACACGTTGACTGAGATACTTCTTAGGAGGCAGGTTGTGTTCGGCACCATCAAATGGAGCAGCAAACAAGAGAGCCGGGGCCCCTATTCCCACGAAGCTTACATGCTGGGGTAAGAGATGGCCAATTAACAAATAAGGAAACAAAATCACAAAGCAGTTACAGATTGTGATAAATGCTATTAAGAAGTGCACAGAGTGATGAGATAAACAGGGACTGAGGGAAGGAGACCCTTTAGATATAATGGTCAGGGCTGGTCCTTAGAGGAAATGACACTTGAGCTGAGACCTCTGCGATGAAAGCAAGCCAGGCATGTGGAGATTTGGGAGATTAATATATCCTATAGAGGGAACAAGGGTAACCATACCCTAAATATAGTATCCTAATCACAAAAAAACAAACAAGAAACTAACAAAAATTTGGGTTATTAGCAGATGGCAATATCCATATATAGAAGAAATAGAGGCCAAGACAGCTTGAAATATCTACTAATTTCAAGTGTATATGTCTTAAATTGGATGTCCAATCTGATTCACCTTAATTCTGATCGAGTAGACACATTTTTAAGCAAACTCCAGAGTCAAAACTACTCTGCCAACAACCTCCAATTTGAAAGGCTCTTCTCCTTAAGCATCCCTATCAGAGTTGCCTCTTCTCACTTTGCTTCCTGAGCTGCTTTTTCTATATTTGCTTTTTAAATTTTATCCCTCACATTCATACTCCTTTTTTTGTTTGTTTTTTTGTTCTGTGCAGTTCTCCTCAAAGTTCTCCATTGCCATTGGCACCTATACGTTCCAAAGTCTCTCCTGAGTTTCCAAGTCAAATATCCACATTCCACTGGATTTCTACACAGGAATGTCCTACTAGCTTCCTTAATTCAACAGAACCAAAACTGGATACATTACCCCCTGCCCTGTCCAGACACTCCATTCACTCCCCATGTAACTTTCTAGCACCATCAGTGATCATTTGCCCATGCTTGATATCTGAAAATCTTCTGTTTTCTGACTTCTACCCCCTCAGCTCCCACGCATAGTCACCCAATCTCCAAATTTCACAAACTTAACATTTCTTTGGTGTGAGTTCCCTCAGAAATTAATAGGTCAACAATAAATTCTTTACTTCTTTACACTACTACCTGGAGTTATAGTAATATAAACTAATGATGTGCTTACTATGTATCAAGCACTCCGAATGAGTCACATGCACTATGTCATTTCATCCTTCAAATAGCCCTGTGAGCTATTAACAGTATGATTATTTCTCTTGTATATGTAAAGAAACCAAAGCTTAGAAGTGTTCAGCAATTTGCCAAAGTCCCCTATGGAAGTGGAAGGGATAAGATTTAACCTACACATTTCTGACTCTAAAATCTGATCTTTTAAACATTATGTCATAAAAGTAAAAAATTAGCTTTCATAACAGGAAAATTAAGCATTTAACTTCACAGTTTCTCTAGGAACAAATTTACCACTTTAAGGATTTTTAAGATTCTGGGATAACAGGCACTAAATCTAGCTTTGAAGGTGATATGGGGTTCGATTAATTAAATCAGTTATTCTGAAAAGTGTTCAGTAGCAGACATCTGAAAATTGTGGTGTTATTTGGATAATAACCAAAAAAATGATATGCTGAATTTCACCAAAAGCCTAGATATGCTTCTAACAGAAAATAAGACTATATTTTACATAAATAGCTCCACCTTATGTGGAATGTATATGAAACACTTTCAGTTACATGAAATATTTTATCCACCCATTACTACTTGTTTCTTCCTTGTTCATGTGTTTTATGACCCAAAAAACTAAGAATGCTAGCAGTCTACTAATTTTTAAGAATAAATGTGAAGGAGAAATTTTGAAATTGAGAAAAAAGAGTTTCTTCAATAGCCCAGGCAAGAGATGTGGCCCTGAAGTAAAGTAGTGAGATAAGAAGAGCATAATTTAAAAGATTAAGAGGTAGAATCAATAGGACTTTACTGGTTTGGAGGGTGAAGAAGGAATCAAAGATGACTCACCAAAGTTTCTATGTATGATAGATGGAAGGTAGATAGTTTTTGTTTGAAGTTGTATACACAAAACCAGAGTAATTCCCATTTATCCAGTTTTGCTTTCCATGGTTTTAGTCAATTTGGTCCAAAAATATTAAATGGAAAATGCCAGAAATGAACCACAGTAAGTCCCCTACGTACAAATTAGTTTTGTTCCAAGAATGTGTCTGTAAGTCCAATTTGTTTGTAAGTCCAACAAAGTTAGCCTAGTCACCCAACTAACACTTGGCTATATAGTACTGTACTGAAATAGGCTTATAATACTTTTCAAACAAATAATATATAAGAAACAAAAAATAAAAAACATTTTTAACCTGACAATATAGTATCTTGAAAAGTACAGTCGTACAATACAAGAGGGCTTCCCCGGTGGCTCACTGGTGAAGAATCCACCTGCAAATGCAGGAAATGCAGGAGACTCTGATTTGACCCATGGGTGGGGAAGACCCCCTGGAGTAGGAAATGGCAACCCGCTCCAGTATACTTGCCTAGAAAATCCTATGGACAGAGGAGCCTCACTGTCTACAATCTACGGGGTCTCAGAGAGCTGGACACGATGGAGCGCACAGAACATAGTACATGAGCTGGTGCACAGGGCTTG